AAGCGGCAATAAAATCTAAATGACACCGTCGCGAACCGCTTTGTGCTGCCGTTGCTGCTGCTCCTTTGCATATTGCTACTGCGGCCACTTGTTGCGCATCAGCAACATTGACGACAACACCAGCGGCAGCAACGTGTGCTCCACTTCGACTCAATTCGTTACTTTTCAGTTAGTATTTTCAATTTATAGCCAACCGCCGAAAATCCGACGAAGAAAACCGAGCACGAAAACTGGTTGACACTGTAAAAAGTGGGTGTATCTGTGGATACAGATCAGCGGATAGCCAGAACCTAGCGCACTCGGATTGTATAATTCTTAGCCAGACATTGACATACGATATATAATAAATAATCTATACTTTGTGATATAGACATTGACGAGGCGGCTAATTGGACTGCTTTCAGCAATGGCCAATTGAATGCCCAGTTGTTTCTCAGCCTCTCAATGAGATCACAAATGATGCAATTCATACAATTGTCATTTCACGGAATTTTCATGCTACTTTATGAAGGTCGAAAAGCGTGGAACAACAGGTAGAAGGAGACGTTTTCGACCCTATAAAGTCTATTATGACCGACAAAGGATTGAGTTTGAAGAGCCCAGAGATTCGTGTGTATGTTATAAGCCAGTTTAAAAAGATTGCCCAAACAACAGATGACACTTGCATAATTATTTTTAAATTGGTTAACAGAGCAACGGGTAACTGGTAGAGCCGCCCAATAATCGAATCCATTCACCTTCATTATTCGATTTCATATCTGTTACCAGAAAAGCGAAAGGGTATTAATTAGTCAATATCTTTTGGCTTTGGCGGGGATGTAAGCTGAACTTTCTGATTGAAAAATCTGGTTAAAGCAGATCAGGATCAGATATGTAACAAATAGAAATATAAAGCAGTGGCAGTCGGGAAAACGTGTCCATCGGCGGGCAAATGATTAGGGAGGAAAAATCCAAATCCAAGGACTCATGGGCACGCAATCGCTCTGTTACGCAGCTGCGGAAAAGCGAGGACTGCGCGTGTATGTGTGATTGTCAGGAGGCGGGAACTCAGGATGCGGACTATAAAACGCATGATTCAGAATGCGGGAGGGAATCATTGAATCGAATTGAATACGTGCCGGCACGGAGCATAGAACACGGAGCTAGGAGCACGGAGCTAGGAGCACGGAGCACCAGCATCCGAAACCGGATTCTACGTGTTGCTGTTTTGTATTAGCAAGATGTCAACGTATGTTTGCAGAATTATGTACAAAAAGCAGACACATCCATATCCACATGCCGAAATGTCCTCTTTTTATCTCTATCTCCATGTCGGCGGTAAAGGCATCAAATGTTGTCCGAATCGACAAACAACGTAAAAAGAGCAAAGGGGCAGAAAGGAGCCCGCTCCAAATTGACATCAGTTGCTGATTTTTAATTAAAAATTTGCGACGTGTGAAGTTGATTTCATTTTGGGCCCCGCCAAACTGACAGATGAACTGATATAGGAAGCTCAACTGGGTGATGGCACGATAGTCCTGACCTGTCCCCCTTGATGGTCCAGTGTTTAGGAAACGGAAGATAGAATGTCCGGCCCTTCACGTCCGTTCGTTGGCAGGCGGTTTTCTAGGGGCGATTCTGGGATGTGACTGGGTGAGTAGAGGGGTGATTCGGACACACACAGAGAGAGGTTTTAGACGGGACATTCGCGGCTGAAATAACAGTTGATTCCTGGTGACAGCCTGGAACAGCAGTCATCACATGTCCGCCGAATGTGAGGACATGAATTGTGGATTCCATAGGATCCATCGGGCTGACTTGCTCGGTTTCCCTAGGTCTTCATAAATATAGATTAGCTAATCGAAACAGGAAATCAGGAAACAGGATAGACCGTCACATTATTGGGCGGCCAGCGCATGATGGGATAAGTAAGGCCAATATGCACTCTCAAAGAGCTCTAGCACGCTTATTGATTGCAGCAAATGAAAGGAGAGATCTTGTAAGTGAAGTCGTTAAACCAGTTTTTTGATGACTTGGCTTGGCCTTGCAACTTTAAAAAAGTCTTTAAATTTAGAAATGACAGCGATTAAGGTTCACAAGGCTTACACCAAAATTAGAGTCATCCATTCAATTTATTCACATATTGCCGTTTCCGAATAAGTTTGCCTTGCTTAATTGTTTAGTAATTTGGAAGATTTGTGGCAGTAATCCGGAATAGATTCGCCTGCCTGATAAACAGTACATTCACGTGCCAGGTGCAATACCCCCGCAGTGTTCGTCATTTGCTGCGGGTGTCAAAGTCATTGCTTTATATAATACCGTTACGCTGTGACATTACCCTTATCGGGCAGGCCAAAAGACCCTCACGAGCATTATTTACTAGGTACTTGACATTCAAACCCGGGTCCCGAAAGAGAGATGCGAGTTCCGCTGCCTTTTACGACTCAAACGCGAACCAGACACAGCGAAACAGGGCCATTAACAAGTTATAACGACAACAGCAGTAGGAGCAGCAACAGCGGCAGCAACATCAACAGAAGCGGCAGCAACATACATAAGCACGAGTGCAACAGTTATAAGAGTCGCGGCCGTCGAACCACCCACTTGAACTCATAAATTCCGAGAACCCCCGATAACATACATATATTTGTGACCAGAAAAACATGCGTGTGTCACGCTGCCACGGTCCCGCTCTAACCTCTTCCCTCTCGCTCCCTGGCGTCGTGATGTTAAAGTAAATATTATGTGTGCGCTCGGGATTATGACTTCTTAGCTAAAGCCAAGAGCAGTAGAAACATCATCAACTTCTGCAGCTGAAACATCAACTTCTGCTCCACAAACAGTTGCAGGTAGCACAGCAAAAGACACATCCGACGGACTTGCAGCTAAAAAAGCTGCAAAAGAACAATATTAGGAGCAGAGCAACAACACAGCTCCTAAGGCATTAACAGCGGCAACAGTCACAATAACATGACCAGCAATTGCAACAGCGGCGGGAGTATCCACCTTAAACTACAGCAACTCCTCAATGCTATTGCCTCAACTGCAGCAACAAGTTGTTGCAGCTGCTATCGAGCTGTCGGCAGTTGTATTATTGTCACTGCTATTGTTGCTGTTGCTGTTGCTGTTGCTGTTGCTGTCAGTGATGCTGATGACAATACTGATGACTGATGTGAGATATGTTAAGGGTCTGTCCTTGTGTGAACGAATGGAACCGTTGATATATATCTCTTATTGTGAATTTTTTTGCAACTTAAAAATCGTTTTTATCTTTAAATGCAAATTATTCTTCAAATACGGTTGGGATGGTGAGCAGACTCCTTATGTCTTACAGACATGTTCATTTATGAATGTAATATGATAAAATATATATCGATTGGGTTCGCATTAAGACCCCTTCTAGGAATGAAGTCGATGAGGTCAGTTTAAATAGCCTATCGATGTAGGGTACGTTTAGGTAAAGATTGATTCGATCAAAAAGTAGGGAAATTCAGTTACAGCTATAGACACTGTATTCCTTAGATATTATAACTTCCGACATTAAATATATTTATTCTTGATGCATGTTTTAAGGGGTATCGATGGAGCCTAGCTCATGATCGAGGCTGCTATAAGCTTTGACTGTAGAGACACAGATGTTTGTCTGTCTCAAAATGAAATCAAAACTGACTTCAAAACTCCAGTTGTACTATGAAATGCTTTAGTTTTTGTAACCAATTAGGAACTGAACGTAAGAGGATCAAGCATGTTACTTTTTATACCCGTTACTCGAAGAATAAAAGAGTATATTAGATTCGTGGAAAAGTATGTAACAGGTAGAATGAAGCGTTTCCGACCCTATAAAGTATATATATTCTTGATCAGTATCAATAGCGAAGACGATTAAGCCATGTCCGTCAGTCTGTCCGTATGAACGCTGAGGTCAGGAACTATAAGAGATAGGAAGTTGAGATTAGGCATGAAGATTATTGAGGTCCATACGCAGTTTACTTTCGCATCCTGCAAACAAATCACGAAAAACTAAAATTGCTTAAATCTCAGGAACTATTAGAGCCAGAAAGTCAGTATGTATAATCTTGGGATGCCAGCGCATCTTATGGTGGGACCATTATCCGGCCACACCCACTCTTACGCCCACCAAGTTCAAATGACGGTTTTCGCATTTTGTAGAAAAGCTTATATCTCGGTAACGATAAGTGATAGAAAGTTCGGATTAAGCATGTAGGTTTTTATGATGCTCCCCACTCCCACTCTAACGCCCACAAAACCAGAAAAACCCAAAACTGCGAAAATCTCGTTCCCGAGAAAGAGCTAGAAAGTTGTGCTTAAGAACACGTATTTAAGAGATGCCACTGCAACTTGTTTAGTTTTCAGTTTTCATATGGCCACGACCACTCTAACGCTCACAAACCGCGGAAAACTGTGGCATGTATAGTATTATTACGAATGCCTTCGTTTGAACTTATTTAACTTATTTCAGTCAATCTCTATCGATTACCAAAGAACTTTCAAATCGGAACATTATTAAGCTATTTATGAAGAAATTTAAGTTATAAGACCTCATATGGACAGTGACGTCACTATCAGTTACTCAACATGATTTCTCCGACAATAGGTGGCGTTTTGGGAATTTCCACTAGCACAATGAATATTTTAAAATTGTGGAAAACAGTAACGGGTATCTTATAGTCGCGGCACTCGAAATAGTGTTTCTTCTTGTTTTTAAAATACAAACACGGAAACGACTTCGATGTAACGCAAATTCTCACTTTAAGAACATCAATTCCTTGTCGATTTTCTATATGTATTTATCAATTACTGAACATCATTCTTCATTGTTCTCCCGGTCACAAAAAGCAGCGTGGGTGGTTGGGAGGAGGCATGAGGTGGGTGGACCGGGGTAAGGAAGATTACTGCTGGGGCACAAAGCGCCTTTTGGGCGGGAAGTATGTACACTGGCGGGTGTTGCCCATTCATGCTTTGCTCCGTCACTGAAATTTGATTTTCTTTTGTTTTTCCAGCGCTTGCCAAGAGTAAGCGAGCGAACGATCCCGAAGAGATGGCACCGCCTAACTGCCTGCTGGCGGTCCTTGCGCTGACGGTTTTCCTAGGGACCAGCAACGGCTTGCCGATCACGTCGCGGCCCATCGAGGGTAATGTACAGCGCATGGTGTGGGAAGACTGGGTAAACCTGGACCCGGAGCAGCGGAACCTCACTAAGGAAAAGAAGGTGACCGCCAAGTCGATATTCACGCTACCCTTCCGACACTGTCCACAGGGTCACACGTTGTACAATGAGCTTTGCATCCCGCAGTCCAACATTGATGCAACGGATCTGGTCAAGCAGGAACTTATCCTAGCCGGTGTCACAAATGGCAATCCCCCACCGCCGCCCATCGCAGACTACGACTATGGCGATGACGTGGAGAGTGAAGAGATCCTGTACGATCTATCCGTCATTCCGACTGCCATCCAGGATAGCCCGCCACCCAGCGCTGGGTCCGAGGATCAAGCGCTACCCAGCGAGGATGCACCACTGAAATTCAATATATTCCAGAAGAAATTCCCCACAGGTTCGGGTGAGCCCGAGGTTCAGGCGCTACCGCAGGACATGGTGGGTGCCTCAAATGCCGGCAACAGCAGCACCACAGCGACGTCCACTACCACAGCAGGAACATCAGCGTCGAACACGACGACACCAGCTACTCCTCCTTATAAGCCCAACGGGGACTTGCAGGCAGCCCCCAGTAATACTCTGTCCACATCGACAACACTTACTATGCCCAGTAGTAACAGGGATATTAGCCAAGTGGAAGCCATAGTGTTGCCGGCGGGTCAGGCGCAGGCTGGATTTGTGCAACTGGTGACCAGTCCTCTAACCGACAGCGATAGCGAAGACTCCTCCACAACGGAGAGTGACTTAAATGAGGAGGAGAATTTGGATCAGCTTCTCATGGTCGACGCCTTTCTGCCGGCTTACGACGGCAGCACCGAGCTGTTGCCGTCGCTCTTCAGCCATCGCAAGCTGGCGCCGCCGTTAAGCACAGACCAGGATGTGAAGGCCAAGCAGGCAGATGAGGCTGCAGAGGGTGCATATGAGGCAGGAACCCAGCAAGACAAGGAGGAGGTTAAGGAGGGGGAGACCACCACCGATATGTGGCCGACCGAAGATGAGGAGTATACCACAGAGACTGGAATAACTACAGGCGACACAACGATTGCGGAAGCGTCATTTGATGATACATCTTCGGCCACCTCCACCTCCGCCTTCGCCTCCAGCTTCACCTCTGACCAAACATCACCACATCCGCCAGAAGAACTTGAGATAGATGAACATGAAAATCGCCTGGTCTTGATAAAAACGAAAGTGCAACCGGTTCAGTTAACGACACCAACATCGGCAACATCAACAGCAACGGCAACAGCAACAACTGCAGTTGATGACGCTGATTCCTCCACTGACCGGTTTCATTATCAGCGTTTCGCCGATGATGTGTCCGCTAGGAGCACGACAGCAAAACCAGAGCCCAGCACCAGAACGCCCGGCAGCAGCGAACCGATCGAGGAAGATTATATGCCATCAAGTGACAATGACAATTTAATGACAAATACAATTGGGGGCCACGAGGACGACAGGGATGAGGGGAGTCATAAGGCCACCAGTAAAATTGATGTCCAACAGGAACTGCGACTCATCAACGAGCTGGTTAAGGACAAGCGGCGAAAGCAGCAAAAGCAGCAGCAGGTACAGCTTGATTCAACCAGCACAGAAGGAACATCCACATCAACATCAACTGAAGTAACAATCACAAATTGGTCAAAGGATATGCCCCAATTAGGAAAAAGCATACGTGAAGCATCAACAACAACAGAGACAGCAGCAACTTCGAGCCAGAGCCAGGCTAACGAGAGCAGCTCGACGGGCAATACAGCAGCATCAACGTCACAACATTTGAGTATTACTAATCGTAGCAATAGAAATAGTAAAATATTTAAAGAAGGCCAGTTGGCTAAAGAGCCAGCAGCAGCAGCAGCGACCGCGGCAACACCGCCCAATAGCAGTAGCAATCCGGATGGCTATACGCCTTTCTGGTGGCTCCCGAGCATTGGATGGCGTCTGGACCGCAAGGCGGATGCCGCCGGGCAGGATCAGTCGCTGTTGCTAAGACTCTTCAGCACCTTTCGCGGCAGCGGCACGGTACCAACCACACGCTAACAGCAACATCAACAGCAGCAGCAGCAGCAGCAGAAGCAGCAGCTCTTGGCTCTCGGCTCTTGCTTGCGATTAGAGCCACAGGATGTCGCTTGATGCCGCGTAGTTAGTGCAACAATGTGTTGTGTCAGCAACAGCGTTTCAATTGCGTGTTGAAGTTTGTTCACAGTTGCCCCACATTCACACTCATCCCATGTCTGAGTAAATATTTATTTCCTTTTAATGTTTTATTCAAACGCCCAATTGTACATAGAATATCCGAAATACGCACTACTTAGCAACCAATTTAGTCGTTTTTTCATTGGCCTTAAATCAAACCTTTTTTTTTGTGTTATTTGAACCGCTTTCTGTTTTAAGTTGTTGATTTAATTTTAGGGAGACTTTTTTTATTACAATAGTTTTATATGTGCGTGCTGCTGCCGTTGTTGCGATCCTTAGCAATATTTACTTGTGATTACCTAGGCTTATGAATTCAATGTTAGACCTAGGTAGATGTATTTGTATACGCCGAGTCTTTCGATACATTTTTTAAACTATTATTATCACAACTGTTACCCAAAATATATGTACGAACCCGGAGCATTTGTCGTAGCTGTCTCTATGTATATACTCTAGGGCAGAAGTCATTCAAATCGAAGCATTTTAAACACAACCACTGAAGCAACACATTATCTATGCCTAGTATTAAGCCTAGTAATTATGCTAACCACTGTAAACACAAATCAAAACAAAGCCCAAAATATAGTATAATGCATGTATATAGTTATAAAGCTTGTTTCGATCCCTTAGCTCAAACGTAACGAAACGAATCAGGCAACCATCACGTTTTTGTCAATTGTAACTCAACCTACAGCCAAAGTTATGAAGAAAAACATTTGCGAAAACGCAAAAATGCAACATCAACGTGTTTTCTTTGGGGCAACGCTGGCTGTGCGGCTTTCCTCCTGATTTGATGCCTGGCCAAAAGCCTGCGGTAAGTATCGGGGGACAACTTCGAACATTCACCCCCCCCGGGCAGAAGGCAGTCATCCGCACTGCCACCTACCACTTGACGGAACTTTATCAAGATTCCCTCGTTGCTCACCTCTAAAGTCAAAAGCCTGGCTCTTCGCATTGCAAATTAGCCAAAAGGACAAAAAGACAGGCCAGAAATCATCGAAATTTCCAATTGGTAAGCCGACAGGTTTGCAGATGGAAAGTAATTGTCAGGCTTTGAGTGGCAACTCTTCAAAGAGAATCCTGTTGGACCCGTTAAAAAAATCATCACTTGGCAAAAGAGCTTCACAGCGTATAGAAATAACTTGAAGATAAGTTCAATAGGGCAAAGATGGACATATTTATACCTGTTACTCGTAGAGTTAAAGGGTATACTAGATTCGTTGAAAAGTATGTAACAGATAGAAGGAAGCTTTTCCGACCCTACAAAGTATATATATTCTTGATCAGGATCAATAGCGAAGTCGATTGAGCCATGTCCATCTGTCCGTCCGTCCGTCCGTCCGTATGAACGCTGAGATCTCAGGAACTTTACAAGATACAAAGTTGAGATTAAGCATGGAGATTCTTGAGATCCCGGGACAACGCAAGTTTATTTCAGCATCTTGCCACGCCCACTCTAATGCCCACAAATCACGATAAACTAAAATCGCTGAAATCTCGGGAACTATTAGAGCTAGAAAGTTGAAACTTTGGATGCCAGCACATCTTTTAGTGGTACTATTACACACACCTATTACACCCACCCATACGCCCACCAAGCTCAAAATTTTAAATTTTTAAGAAAACCTGATATCTCTGTAACTAGAATAGAAAGAAATCCGAAAAACCAAAAATCCAAAAATCTCGGAAACTAAAGAGCTAGAATGTTAGACTTAGGAATATGTATTTTTGAGATGCCACTGCAACTTCCCAAGAGCTTCATCCGACCACGGCCACTCTAACGCCCACAAACCGCGGAAAACTGTGGCGTCTATAATAATATTATGAATGCCTTCGTTTGGCCTTGTTTAACTTATTTCTGTTAATATCTATCGATTAACTAAAGATTTTTCAAATCGGAACATTATTTAGCTATTTATGAAGAAATTTAGGTTATAAGGCCTCACATGGGCAGTGACATCACTATCAGTTACTCAACATGCTTTCTCCTACAATAGGTGGCGCCTTGTGAATTTCCACTAGCAAAATGAATATTTTAAAATTGTGTAAAACAGTAACGGGTATCTTATAGTCGCGGCACTCGACTATAGCTTTGCCTCTTGTTTTTGGATAGACATGCAGTTAGTTCTTAAAATTATTTTGATTTCCTAACGCTCGATTATTTCTCTGAATGTGCTATGCAGTTGAAGCTTGTCATTATATTATCATCAGCCATTTCACTCGCTTAAAGGCAGCTGTTGCCATTGACAAATCTATTTGGCGGGAGGAAAAAGGAACGTTCGAGGACACAAAATCAGCTACAGGAAGCCCACACACACAGGCTCAAACGAACTCAAACACGTTGGCGTATTTTTGAGTAACTTAATATGCCAAAATATCTCGCAGGAATACGCGTCGTTTTGAATAAAGAAATGCTATTAGGGAAATAAAGCGGTATGCATATGCAGACGGCAAGTCAAACATGGCGAATAAAATCATCTGTGTGTTTGCCTAACGAGCTGCATTAGTCGCTGATTGCAACTGCCGAGCTGTCCTGCTTGCGGAACCAGATGCGGATGTAGATGGGGTGCAACGCTGCACTGCGAATACGTATCTTGTTTCTAGCCTCTTTCACATGCATTCTGTTGCCTTCCCTTACCTTAAATTTAAATCGCAAGTGTACCCGTGCATTACAAAACACACGCGCCATCTGTTGGTGAGCCGCGGAAGCTCTTCTTAAATGTATTCCGCTGCATACTTTTAGGCAAGCAATGCCATTCTCCGCAAAGAAGAATTAGGGCTAGCTAAATATATTCTTTTTTTAGGCAGTATTTCAATACAAAAAGATGTATCACGATCGAGGATATCAAATACAGGATTTATATCAATGATTTTGTAAAATTATCTGGGAAGTACCCAACTATAGAGTCGAATGTCTACTAACCTACTTGAGTTGACTTTGAGAAAAATATTAGGAAAACAGACAGGGCTCTTTCACACAGCAGATGACCCTGTATTTATTTTTTGCAACTTTGTAAAACCTTTTTAATATTTTCCGGACTTAAGAATGTGCTTTTACGTGAAAATGAATTTAAATTCTATTAAATTTAACATTGTCAAGCATTACACGCTATTGTCTTCTTGTCTTTTAATTAAAATTAGGGATATACTTACATTTGTAAATACTAGGTTAGGAAACGCTTTCTTTTACTTTTAGTTCAAAAAACTAATCTTGTCTTCTTTACGAATAGAAACAATTATTTGGCAGCATTCAGGAAACACATAAATTGGACCCTTTCTATTTTAAATTTCCATACATACATACATATGCACATCTTCTAATAAATGGTTAAATGGAAAAGCCTTAAGAATGCCCAGACTATGAACATCTCGATAACTGTAAAATTCCTGCTACACACTTAAACAAATAGGAAGGGGGATGTGCAAGTGGACTAAGTAGCGTGTGTCTGTGTGCCTCTTGTAAGCCTGGCTAGGCACTGCAGTGCACTGTGGGAAAAAGGATCAGTAATTGGGGTTAAAATACACATACAATTCTATCGAATTTTGAATTTAAATAAAAGAATTAGAAAAGAATTAGAAAAGAATTACAAATTATATTTGAAAAACCTATAAATCGTTAAATTCTCAGTTCATTTTAAGTTTAGTTAGACTAAGAACATAAAAAAGAAAACTCCATTGATATTCAAGGTAATACTTTCGGTCGACCACTGTGCAATGGTAAAAGGAAACTTCTGTTTATTTTAATATTAAACAGAAATGCACACACACAAACACATTCACAGACAAACACATATGCAATCACACAGACACTTAAACACTTGGAACTTGTGTGCGTCTGAATCTGTGTGTGTGCATAAAATATAAATGAAACGGCGTCTAATACTTTGCAATACAAAGTTTCCATGTGTTGTGCAGTATTTCAGTTTTCAGTGCCTAAGCATTTAAGCAAAGTAAACAACCACTCACACACCCGCACATAAGCACGGACACACTCACACATACTCGTAATGTCTTGCTCTTGGAAAAATGCTTTATTATTACTTTAATATATCAAATAAACATAAATATAAAGAGTAAAAGGGTATACTGTACTAGTTGCAAAGCATGAAATTGGTAAAGAGTATTTACGTCTTTATCAGGTTGACTAGCCGAGTTGGTTTAGCCATGTCTAACCGTCTGTCCGTATAAACGCTGATATCAATGGAAATCAAATAGATATACAGTTAATTCTGGAGATGCCTGCTCAGAGCAATTTTGGATTGACCTTAAAATATATATTTTTTAATATAATTATTTTGAAAATGAATATGCTATCTATAAAATTCTAGTTATACACGTTAATCGTGGAGTAAAAGGGTATACTAGATTCGTTGGAAAGTATTTAACAGGTAGAAGAAAGCGTTTCCGACCTTATAAAGTATATACATTCTAGATCAGTATCAATACCGAAATCGATTAATGCATGTCCGTCTGCCCGTCCGTCTGCCCGTCTGTCACTATAATATTATAGTGTATACCTATCGATTTACCAAAGATTGGGGAACATTATTTCCCTATTTATTAATTATTTCCCTATTTATTTAGTCAACATGCTTTTTCTGAAAAAAGGTGGAGCTTTGTGAATTATCAAAATGAATATCTTAAGATTGTATAAAACAGTATTGGGTATCTTATAGTCGCGGCACACGACTATAGCGTTTCTTCTTGTTTTCAATGTTAAATTTTTTTAATTAAAGATGATCTCAGGAACATCATCTCAGGAATTTTCGAACTATTGAAAAAAGCGAGTACAAACAAGACATTTTTGGAAGCCATCTGTCCACTTCCAATCAACAGAAATTATTTATAAAATAAAGAGGAGTAATCCCCAGTGTGGGGAAAAAACCTTATATCCATACACACGTATTTTTCAGTGTACATATTTGTTTTCGTATTTAGCAGTTGAACCATTAGCCATTGTCTGTCTAACACACCAGCCGACGAGAGTCCACAAGACAGCCACGCTCTCTACTTCCAGCCCCCTTTTAGGCATTCGTTCACCCCCGTTAAGTCCTCTCCAGATCCACTTTTCGCCCATCCCAGCCCATGGCCACTGAACTGGAGGTTCACAACCTGCTCAATGAATCCCAATAAGTTTGTCATGGCTCTATGGCCAATGCATGAGTGTGCGATTGGTAGTGTTCGTTGCGAGTGTGGTGTGCGTGCCTGTGTTTGCTTTGCATTTGTGTGCGTGTGCTAAATCAAGTGGTAATTGGTTCTTCGCCTGCCAATTCCACTGCCAACTGCTCGTCTTAGCAGTTGTTTATATAATTGAAACTAACACAAATAAAGTGCAAAAGCTTTCTGATTATGGGGAATTGCTCCTGCCACAGAATGGTGCAAGTGTCAGTCACATTCCCTTTATATCCTCCGTTTTCCAAAGCTTTCCGTTGCCAAATACCTGGAGTTTTGCCGTCGACCATCACTCGGGAGAGCGGTAAGACCGCGTGCCAACTCAAACGGAAGTGGGAACTCTGAAGTGAAGACGGGTTTCTCCCTAGAAAATGCTCACTAAACCAAACTTACGGCTGAAAGCCTAGCTAGTGAGAGTTCTTTATTTCTTTAGCACGTTTAACATCAGGATGTATATTCTCGATTAATTAAGGAGCTTAATAAAAGCGAATATTGATATAAGTTTTTCCAAAAATACCCAAGATATATATTTTAAAAGCATTTTATGCTTTACGCCGTTTTAGTGCCTAAATCGCACAATTTCGCCCACTGTACGGCAGGCATAAAAGCTAAGATTTGAGGGCCTTTGTGAGAAATGCGTTTGTGCTTGATTACGGACTTAAGCGGTTCTTTCTTATGCTGCTGTTAACTTAAGTATAACAATGATAAGGATAACGTTCAGTTACCAGCTCCGCCTTGCCCCTCCATCAGCTCCTGCTAACAAGTGTTTGCACCTTATTTATTTGCCACTTTGCCCTCTTGCTCGATATCCCGGCATTCCAGCTAAGTAATTGGGATGAGTAGGATAGTGCTTTAGTGCAGGTACCACTCTTTGTAATCAGGCAAAGACAGTCCGTATATCTGAGCCTGCCTAAGCCTTTAGTCAGCTCATTACCCAAATGCTTACTGATCATTCCAGCCATAAACTGCATTTCAATTAGTGGCAATGCATATTGCAAACCTATTTTGGCCAACTGCATTTGCCTCTGCCATTTGTCAAATTGCCAAATTCTATGGGATCAACAAATCGGTAGGTTCGGATCCGCATCGTAGGTGAGGTGAGGTGAGGTTCAGGCTCTAACAGCAGTAAGCCTTTTGTATTGACGAATACATTATTGCATGTAAGAAGTATCAAAGCTCCCTTAATCACTCCTAGAATCCACGTATGTGAATACAGGCAGACGGACAGTATTTGTTTTTATAGTAAAACTCGTTTCAATCCTAGTGGATACATATTTGTGATTATATTATTGGAATCAGATTTAGACTTTATTAATTGGTTGGGTCCTAGGCCAAAAGGTACTTGGTTATTCATAATATCCATTTCATCATAACAAAGTAATAAAAACCTCACATTTCCTCCTCTCCACTCTGCAGAGCTCTTTGTGCTCCGTCATTTGGGCCATTTGCAGTCATTGCTTTCACGGCTCAGTTTTTTAATTGAGGATAAATGGTGTTCGCGGACGAGTGGAAATTGCGGCTGGGAAATTGGTGGACACAAGCGTGTTGAGCCGCCTGAGTTTTGTGTAATTTTTGGGAAAAACCAAAGCCCAGCAATCCCATAATGCGTCGTCGCATTCGTTCGTTTTCCGTTGTCCGGCCGTAAAAGACGCGTCCCTGCCTCTGGCCACTTGTCATAAATAAGCGGTGCAGCTTGCAGGACCTTGTTTGCACGCAGCTTTTCCAGCCGCTCTCCTCCTTTTCCCCGCATTACCCTCAATTTTCCGTCGACAATCCTTGCTCGCGCTTCGAATCCCAGCGCTCTCGCGAATTCAATTTAACGAGAAATTGCAACAATCAACGCTGTTTCTGTGTCCTCTCCCATCTTCCCCCTCCGCGCCCCACAAGGATTTTCCTTTCCGACCACTCCCCTGGATTTTCCAGCCTCCTCTCACCCAACCGCCTGAACACATTCTGCGGAAAGTCGTCGGGCGGTGGATAAAAAAAAATGGCCAAAAAACAACAAACACAAACCCAAATGTTCAGTCAATGGCAGGATCCCGAGCAACAGGAGACGCAACAACAACGAACGGAACGAGAATCAGCTAGACAGAGACACACAGCTTGTGTGAGCGGGAAGGAGAGGGGTATTTGTGGCAGGGACGGAGACGGATGGACGTAGTACGGACAGAATGCAAGGGGTCAAAAAAAATTGGGGCTTGAAAAAGGAAGTGTATGCCAACAATGTAATTTCGGCGCTTGATCTCGACACAGATGTGTCGCTACACAGAGAGAAAGTACCATGGAGTAAATTTTTACAATTAGCTTATTATTTTCCATTTATCTGTTATTTTCTTTACACAGCAGTAGAGCAATAATTTCTAGTGACGAATATTAATTTTGGCATTCGATTTGAAATCTGTTGTAAGTAGTACTAGTAGTATTAGTGGTTCTAGAATGATATGTCCAAATAAATAATACAATTCTTAAACTATATTTTAAAAGTATACAGTAATAATCGCCGTGTACGTTCATATAAGGAGTAACTGCAAAAAGGCAGATAAAAAGCGCGTTGGTTTTCCAGAGCTGCATAAAAAAGTTCGACAATAATGGACATCGAGGAATTCGCTGCCCGCAACTCCCAATCAAATGGAATTTCGAAAATGAAAGGGTATCAAATTACTTAGTACCGCTGCATCGACTTGCATATAAGTTCAGAGAATTCAAATTTAAGGAAATTTGTATACTCCTTGTATGGCTCCTAACATATCTTTAGATTTTGTTCTTCACTTCATGAAATTAGAGTTGGGAATACTACTATTATTATAACGCTTTATTGCAATAACTTTGCTGAAAAAATGTAAATAGCTAAAAAATAAAATTTATCATTTTAAAAACGAAATCTCAACTTTCGAATGGAGCACAGCTCTCGGACAAGAGGACTCCACTTTTGAGTCCACCCACACTACGGGTGTGTGTTTGCTTTGAAGTTTCTGAGTCCGTTTTTGGTCCGTTTTTCACGCGTTTTTGCTACTTTCGTGTGGTCTATTATTACTACCAAACGCCAGCAGTTCCCACACTTTCCCACCCTCAAATCCTCATAATATTTCATGGCTGTTGCAGATTGTTGACATTTTGGCTGCTCCCTACCTCAAAGTTGTCCTTTTTTACGCTTTAGCATCGCAGAGTTGCTGTAGTTGTTTCGATTATGCGGCAAACAGGTCGGGGGGCATGGCTTAGAGGAGCCGGCGTCGTTCACAAAGCAGCCACTGCAGCGGATGCAAACAAACGCAGCCTGCAGCGGCAGGAAAATGTTGAATGTTGGCATAGGGGTTGGGATTTTAGTGGGTTAACGGGGGTTATGGGTATCAGGGTTTCCGGGGGTTTCCGGGGTTACAGGAGTAAGCTGCATCTGCAGTCGCGTGCAAACAGGGTAAATCGCGCATCTGTCGCATTGTCCATCATCATCATCCTCATCATCTCCACTATCGCAGGAGCGTCATCATCAGGATGTTGCAACGGACATGTCCGAAGTTTTGATGTGAGGTTTGGTTTAGTCGGAAAGTCGACGGTGGCGAGGGGCTTCCGGCGACTCGAACCAAGGGAAGCTCAGATCAGAGAAGACTCTGAACGCATCCGTGGTAATTGAATTATTTTTAGAAACTGTGGCACGGACCGTGGCTAATGTAGCTTGTTTAAGGGATCGCTTGTTCAAGGCTTTATTCCATATTAAAAACAATCCTGGAAAGTATTTAATATGCGTTTAGATTTTATTTAAGTTTTACTCTCCATGATGAGTGGTATCGTTTTTCTCCAGGTTGCCATTAACTTAATGCATAGCTAAAAATGCTCTACTTATTTTTCCAAGACTCCTCATTCTAACGATTATCCATTTTCCTCTGGTAGCTAGAAATTAAAAGTATTCCAGTTTTAAATGTGTCTCTACGACGAATGAGACCTAAACCCAGTAGGCTGCCAGAGATCCATCGGAACCCAACACTTCCGTTTCATTCAGCTTCGTACAACCACACCCAAGTCCGACTCCAAAACGACGAAGAACTTCAGGTGAGGATTCCATAACAAGGACCTTGACAAATGAGCGCGTCCGTCTGCGTGGTGGTCACAGTGCCCACTGAAGTGGAGGAGCTAAGGCTGAGCCCTAAGCCACTAGTCAGAACCCAATGTAGCGCCAATTGCTGTTGCTCCATGAGGAGCTCGTGCATTCCGAGTTGCGAGACTTGTCAGCGCTGTTGGCGACTTCGTCAGATAGCGGGGAGCAATAGAGGTAAGGCAATGCCAATGGAGGTCAACACAAGTCCTGCTTCAAGGTGCCACAGCAGATCAGTGCAGCTGCCCGATCTCAATTGGGACGCTTCCCTAGAGCAGCTGCTGAAGGCAATATCCGATGAGCTGCGATTGGAGGATGTCTTTTGGTCGCATGACGTCACAGGAAAGCGACTCCAGGCCCGGTTTGACCTCCTGCAGGACGAGCAATATGAGAGGCTCCTGTGCACCTTGCAAGATTTTGGCATTGGCGAGAGACCCGGCACGCATGTGTCCGCCCTCACCTGTTTAGAAACGCGGTCCAATCCTAGGAACCAGAATCCCAAACCAAACGATAGCGATTTGATCGATCAAGGTCAGGAGCAAAGTCAGGGCTGGCAGAGCTTTATGGACTCGGTAAGATGCCGGTTAAATGTAAACCAGGTGGTGCGGCAGGTGCGTCGGGATGCCACTCTGACCTTTGATTTCGTGGTACTGCTGATGGCGGCTGCCCTGCTCTCATGCGTGGGCCTTGTCGAAAATAGCTTCCTGTTTCTCTCTAGCTCCATGCTGATCTCCCCTCTCATGGGTCCCATCATAGCGGCCATATTCGGATCGGTGATCGGCGATCGGGAGCTGCGGTGGCTGGGTCTGAAGAACGAGCTGCTAGGCATAGCCGTGTCCGTCGTCATAGGATTCTTTTTCGGGATAATAGTCTGCGGGTTCGGGCACTTCTTCGCCATATCCGCCGGTCTCACGGAGGAGATAGTCTCGCGATGCGATACCCACTCCCTGGCCATTGGAGTCTGCACTGCCCTGGCCTCAGGGGCGGCGGGTGCCATAGCGGTTTTGGGTGGCAATACGGGGTCTCTGGTGGGCGTGGCAATATCGGCTTCACTACTGCCACCTGCTGTAAATGCTGGACTCCTTTGGGCCCTAGCCATTGGATCGCACCTGCTGCCGGCTGATCACGACCTCATGGTAAGACTGGTCAAGCACAGGTCTTACTCCTCGCAGCTGTCGGTGGAATTGCTGCTTTGTGCACTGGTCAGCATGGCCTTGACCCTCCTGAACATAGTATGCGTCTGGATAATGGGCGTGGTGGTCCTGAGGATCAAGGAGGTGGCTCCGGCAGTTCAGCGGCATCAGCAATTTTGGCGCCACGACGTGCGCACAGCCCGCGAGGTGGCTCTTCTAGATCCTGCTCTGCAAAGTGCCATAGACCACCTAGACGAGACTCAACTGGACTTGGAAGCGCCGCACTATCAACGCACCTGGTCACCGGGCATGGAGAGCCAGGTGGTCCCGCACTCCGGAACCGGAGGCTCTCACATGGCCCTGCCCAGCTCTAGGGACCAGCCGGATAACTATCACACGGTCCACGGCTTTCAGGATTTCTGCATTTCGCTGCATCGCCTGAAGTCGGTGCAAAAGGGAGTCCAACCGACGAGTGTGATGGAGCTGTTTGCCCGCAGAGCTCCCGCGGAGCTGAGTTGCGGCCAGACCATCAACACCGCCACCACCACTAACACCACCAACAGCGGAGGGAGCGCATTCAGCAACTGCCAAAATCTGTCGAATATCAGCAGCCAATCAAAACTTTGGCCCAATAAGCCACCCAGTACCATTAGTATGCAAAGTCTGGGTTCTAGTCTGGCCCGGGACTCCTGCCCCGGTGCCGAAGTAGCTTCAAATGTGGACAGGGACTTCGGAAAGCGGAACGTCCGCTGGAAAGAGGAGCAGCTGGGTACAGGTAGCAGTGTGATAAAGCAGAATCTGAGCACTAGGGAAAGTAGCCCACTTAGAAGGACTGGTCAGGTTCTAATTCCCCTTCCCAACCTGGAGGCCAGTGTCCCGACTGATCGATCCCTGAAACTACTGCCGTACGCCAGGCTGGAGGTCAAAAGTCCGGAGGAGGGCCAGAACGAGTTCCAGGCTTAGTAGTAGTGTACAAGAGGCACCATCAGATATACCCACCACCAGCCCGCAGCCACCATCAAGAGCACCGCAAACTTCCAGAATAGAGCCTCCAGCTCAGCATTGATTAGCTTCCGGCGCTGGTGCTTTGTTTGCAAACCACATCAAGCCGCCGGCACTGGCGGTCGCGAAACTTGAAAATGTATATTCGTATGCTCGCATGTACTGTATATAAACTAAGCGAAAAAAAAGTATTAAAAGCAGGAATAGAAAAAATGTACGAACTTTAAAAATAAGGAAATCCCAATATAATTTAGGTTTTTACAATAAAGCACAGAAATCGCTAGAGGGGGCTACTTAACTTAAATAGTCATTTGGTCAGTAACCTATCTAAACCGCTCAGTGTGCGTAAAGGCAACTGGTTCAATTACCAAAAATGTATCCATAAAAATCCCGTAGCTCTTAGCTTGGCCAAGAGAAATTGGCGAAAGCATTGTGTCTAGCCTAACTTTTTTAACTTTTAGCTTATACTTAATTAAACACAAGAAGGAAAGCTTATGTCAGATACCCGTTACTCTGTTAGCCAATATTAAATTAATTGCTATCACACGCGTCATCTATGGCTAAAACCATATAACCCCATAGGGCTAGAACCCGTAGACTACTAAGTCGCAGCCGTCTAAAAACTACCTATAAGTTTATATTCTATGTAAATTTTCTTTGTTTAGGGTTTAGAAACTCAGGAATAGAACATTAGTTAATAAAGTGAGCATTTTCCGTGACTACGGTTATACTATATATGACCCTCCCATGAGTTTTTTCGAGTTTAAGCACTTCCTCGGACTTATTGATCAGTCCTTTTATAGTTTGCGGCCACTCCAATGTTGTTATCCTGGCCGTGTGTTCTTTTCTGTTGCACCCATTTCGTTCGAACGCCCACTAGGTGGAAACAACAATTACGTATTGCGCATTTATTGCGGCAACTTGCTTGTTTTCCCAGCCTCTCCTTCGGTGTGCATCCCTTGGCCAGGGTAAACCGGTCCGGGGACAAGTGCGAAAATCGTATACGAGCCACGTGTGATTTCGCTTTGATGTGACCCCTCCGTAGTTGTATTTTATCTAATGTTTATTTGTCATTTCAACGCCCGTTGTGTGCTAATTCCAGCTATAGCTATCCTTGATCCTTTTCCGCCAGTCGTTTCGTGACGCTCGCTTTCTACCCAGCAGTTTGCCGTTTTTCCTGTTTGGCCAGAGCAGGTGCGACATTTAGCATGTCCACGCAATTAGCGTCCTTGTCAAGCCCGTTGTCCGCTGTCCATTTTCCATGCCCACACCACTGCGTCCTTGCCCTCGATTAACTCGTTTTCACAGACCAGACCGCTAACGAGGCCACATTTGTCCGGTCTTTGATGAGCGGACGAGGTCAAAGCAAGCCAGAAGTGCACTTTGAAAAATTTTTTAATATGCCACGTCTATATGCCGCGACTATAAGATACCCATTACTGTTGTACACAATTTTAAAATATTTATTTTGCTAGTCAAAATTCCCAGAGCGCCACCAATTGTCAGAGAAAGCATGTTGAGTAACTGATAGTGTCATCACTGCCCATGTGGACCTTATAACCTAAATTTCTTCATAAATAGCGTAATAATGTTCCGATTTAATATTGATAAAAATATGTTATACAAGGTATCTTAATCTTGGCCTCTCTGAAATACGTATTCTTAAGGCGTCGCTCGATCGGAAAAAGACAATTCGCATTAGTGGCGTCATAAAAACCTACTTGTTTAATCCAAACTTTCTTATAGTTACCGAGATATCAGCTTTTCTAGAAAAGGCGAAAACCACCTTTTGAACTTGGTGGGCGTAAGAGTGGGTATGGCCGGATATTGGTACCACCATAAGAGGCGCTGACATTTAAGGATTATACATACTAAATTTATGGATCCCAAAAATCTTCATGCTTAACCTCCACTTTGTAAATCTTATACTTCCTGAGATCTCAGCGTTCATACGGACGGACAGATGGACGTGGCTAAATCGACTTTGCTATTGATCCTGATCAATAATATATAAACCTTATAGCGTAGGAAACGCTTTCTTCTACCTGTTACATACTTTTCAACGAATCTAGTATACCCTGTTACCTGTTACCTAGTAACGGGTATAAAAATAGAAATTATTGAACAAATTTATAAACTAATAGAGTTTAATGGCAATAATAGGTATTCGACACTTTACTTTAGAACTTTAGAGATAAGATCCATTATACATAGACCTTAAGCTCTCTTGACCACTTTTGGCAGTTGAACTTAAACCGTACAAGCGTTCGGACGTGACAATAAAGATATTTCCCACTAAGCTTAAATATCTTTAACATCGGACCAGGCTTTAATAGCCCCTCAACATAAGAACACTAAGATCAAGGAGGATCTAGCGTTTCTGGGGCGTATACTAAACTGGGCCTTATCATCAGCGTAACTATATAACTAGTGAAATTCGTTACTAGAAGGCATGTTTAGCTGACTTGACGACACTGACCTTATTACCTCAATTTCTAATAATAAAATAATGTTCGTATTTTCAAATGTTTTGGAACACAAAAATAATATTTAAGAACATTTTATTCAAACCGAATCATGAACCTGAATGTTAAATCGGCACATCTTTAGTGGCTTTAATGCATTAGAGGGGGCGGGCCTGCTGAGGAGGAAAACTCATATAGCCTAGATATCTCTGGGATATGCACACTCCCATAGTGCTATCTCTGATAGAGACGGTCAGACGGACACGGCTACCTCCCCTCGGCTATTGATCCTGATAAAGAATTTATCTATATACATTCTGTTCAGGGTAGGTAAATCTTCCTCCTACCTGTCACCTACGTATACATACCAGTCTGTGTCCAACTCATTATTTAACATAATTTTTAATAGTTTTATTTATGACTCTCGGCAAGTTTTTACGGTCGCTTCCGTCGCTATCCGAACCAAAGTGGCAGAAGCGCAACAGACAGGCAAACATTAACCGGACCAAAAAAAATAAAGAAAACTCCTGTGGAGCGGAGCGAATTTGGGGGCGTACTCGAGAATCCCACGGAGATGGTCAAGGCAAACTATTTAATATTAAAAGGGACAGAAGCTGAGCGAAACTTGAATCCTGTTGTGTACTGCGCTCTGATGTGCTGCACTGTCCCACCTGAATCAGAAAGCAAAACTACTTTGCACTCGAAGAAAATCACACCCTCAAGATAAAGCAGAGCTTTCTTCGCATTTCCCTGTATGGTATTTAAATAGATTTTAACTGCACGTATGTGCTACCTTTCCTGAATTTCTTTTTGAAAATTATTGTTTGGTGTGAAAAGGTTTTTATTTTGTGGCCCTTTTATGAGTGTACTTACTCCGCGTGCCTTGTGGCAATCTTAGTGCCTTAAATAGTGGCACCTCTGGGCATTCCAGGCCAGAAGAAAACCAGCTCAGTGGGCAGTTGGGAGGATTGGAGTGCAGTCGAGGAGATTGGCTGCCGGAGTGGACTAGATTGTTGTATTGTTCTTTAGTTTTGTTTTCTTTTTGTCTTTTTTTGGACACTGCTGGCGGATTACGGAGCACATGCTTAGTGCCTATTATTTATGGACCCTTGAAACTGCAGCAGCTGCGGTGGCAGCCACAAGAAGCCATCGCAACAGCACGGTCAATTGATTCCTGGATCCTTCGTACTTCGTTCTTCGTCCTTAGTCGCCCTGTGTCCATTGTCGCCCGCCCTTTGCCCGCGCAGATCCCTTACCATGGCAACAGTAATAAAACTGCCGGATTACCCAGTTTTTGGTCCGGCAATCAGGTGTTGTGGAGCTTCCTTTTGGCCAACTTAATATAAGAACTAAGAGCTCGGTTTATACGGAACTGCGTTTGTTTAGTATCTCCTTTCAATATTTTGGTCGGGGATTACCCTCCGTTCAGACTTCATTTCCGATCAGCTAGTAACGAATTGCTGTTCGATTTACGCAATCAAACTTTGGTAATGCCCAATAATAGTAGATACATTCAATGAAACTAAGTAGGCTTACCTAATTTTATATTTTTATAGATGGTGAAAGTACTCAACCGTCCGTATATATAAGAAACCTACATCCTACATCATTTCAAATGGATCAAATGTAATTTTAGTTGACGATGAGTAGTTGGTAGCCTAAATATTAGTAGAATATTAACTGTTGCTTTTTAGAAGTGTTACTCGTACAGGGAAGGGATAAATGTTTCTAAAATTAGGGCACTATTCAAATGCACCTAGCCATGTCTTGCCATTGTCCATATGAAGGTTCAGCAGAGAAAAGAGCTAGTTAGTTTCGAGATCTTTTTGGTTTTAAATAAGCTTAAGGTCAAGGACAAGGATGACCAAAATGTTCTAAAGTGCACTTTAGTAGATCAAACAAAACGATTATGAAACCAGAGGAAACGCTATAGTCGAGTGCTGCGACTATAAGATACCCGTTACTGTTTTACAAAATTTTAAAATATTATTTTGCTAGCGGAAGTTCACAAGGCGCCACCTATTGTCGAAGAAAGCATGTTGAGTAACTTATAGTGACGTCACTGCCCATGTGAGGCCTGATAACCTTAATTTCTTTATAAATAGCGAAATAATGTTCCGATTTATAAAAAATCTTTGGTAAACCGATAGATATTAACAGAAATAAGTAATACAAAGTCAAACGAAGGCATTCATAATAATATTATAGACGCCACAGTTTGCCGAGGTTTGTGGGCGTTAGAGTGGGCGTATGGGTGGGTGTGGCCGGATAGTATAAGATGTGTTGGCATCTAAAGATTATATATTCTGAATTTCAACTTTCTAGCTCCAAAAGTTCCTCAGAGTTCAGTAATTTTAGTTTTTTTGCGATTTGTGGGCGTTAGGGCGTGGCAGGATGCTGTACTAAACTTGCGCTGCGTAGGGACCTCAAGAATCTTCATGGTTAATCTCAATTTTGTATCTCTTATAGTTCCTGAGATCTCATCGCTCATACGGACAGACGGACAGAAGGACAGACAGACGGACGGACAGGCGGACAGACATACGGACATGGCTCATTCGTCTTCGCTATTCATCCTGATCAAGAATATATATACTTTATAGGGTCGGAAACGCTTCCTTCTACCTGTTACATACTTTTCAACGAATAGATTATTTGCTAATAAAATTTTAAGGATTCACGATTT